GCGCGAGAGGGAAAGCCCCTCTTTAAACTCATCGGCCAGGTCTACCTGCGATCCCCACGAGCTCATTCTCCTCCGTGCCTCAGCAGCGGCGGGTCCTGAACCGCGGGAAGCAGATGGCTGCCCCTCTTTACTCGAAAAAAGAGAACGGAGCTTTTTCATTGAAAAACTTTCGCAGTGCACGCAGATTGCCCCCTCGAGGACATCGCTACCCCTAGAGGACGCAGTTCGAAGTTCCCATGAAAGGGAACTGCACCTGTGATGGGCTGTTGCCATGTTCTTTGGCAAGCCAAGCAGTAATTGAAATGTTATTGCCAATCTCCCCCTTTCATCTTTTCTTCTCTCCATCTTCTCTCAAGGACAAAGGAGCCACATTGCTGTCCATTTACACTCTGAAAAGCTCTCAATAAAGATACTATTATTTTTTTTGTGTGACAAGCAAACAAAAAAGAAACTTTCTGCCTCATGGCCATGTTTTTGCATTATTAACTTTTATTGTTTTTTGTATTATGTATTATTATTTATTAAATGTTCTGTCTTTTCGCTCCTCATAAATTCGCAACACACATTGTTCAGTCTGTATTTAGGATCAGCATGTAATAAGATGCTTTATTTTATTAAAAATACAAAATCCAGATGATCAGTGATAAAAAAAACAAAAACAAAAACAATTATTTTAAAGTGTTTTGCTAATATTGCAAAACTAACATTAAGATTAGAGATTAATGTTCCATATTCAATCTTCACATGACCCCACACTATTGCTCCAAAATGCATGCTGTTTAAACAACAAAAGGAGACATCTAAGCTCTTTTTGTTGTTGAACCCTGGCGAGACCGACCAAATGGACATCGCCCAAATGAATAACTACAATATTAGATCTAGAAGACTTAATGATATAAGGTCATTTTTGGTCTTATTCCTGTGTAAAAGTCCTTTCCAGTGTCCTTAATTCCAACAAGGGATTACAATCTAAAAACACTGTGGATTATCAATATCAAATGAGCTCCGCTGTAATACGGTCCAAGTGAAATGGCACACACAAATCCATGGCCTAATTTTTACACTTGCTTATTTGCTGTAATTCTAATCTGACGCAGAGCACTCTGATAGTTTGTGCTTTGAGCAGTGCCTCTGACCTTGCTGTTGACAGCAGCTGAGTTTATTTCTATGTGAAGATGATAACAACAAAACAGTAAATTCTTTGGATTAACTCCCTTTGTTCTTGTCTTCCCTTCTTAGCTTCCCTTTCTCTGCTGGACTGTACTGTGGTTGCTAAAGTGTCTTTCATGAATCACATATTACTTTAATTTCACTAAAATGCTTTTAGTAGGATATGTTATGAAAATTTAAATTTTCATTTATATATTTAATAATTATTTATTTAATAAATAGATGCATTTGGAATAAGTCTGTAGCTTAGACCACAGGAGTGAAAATCGCATATTTATCTACTATTTATCTACTCATATGCACCTAAGAATCATTTATGACACAAATTCCCACTTTTAACATTAAGAGCAGTGTGTTGTTGTGTTTTTTTTTACATGAAAAGTCTGTTTTATTATTTATTTAATAAATAGATGCATTTGGAATAAGTCTGTAGCTTAGACCACAGGAGTGAAAATCGCATATTTATCTACTATTTATCTACTCATATGCACCTAAGAATCATTTATGACACAAATTCCCACTTTTAACATTAAGAGCAGTGTGTTTGTTGTGATGATTGTTAAACAATGAAAACTCTCAGTACATCAGAATTTTATCAAATAAATATATTTTGCTGAGAACTACTGAAACACCATATTGTCATTTTATTGCAAAGCTGTATAAAAAAAACGTGAACACAGTATGCACGATTGCGACAATATGGTTTAAGTGTGTTTTTCAAGTCATCTCCAGGTAATAAAGTATCTGAATAATGCAGTGCCAATCGACGTAGCATTTTTACAGTATAACCTATAGAAACTATAAAATATATTTTCAGCCTTATTCTGTGATAAAAATAGAAACCTGTCAATTAGACCAAAAAAAAAGGGTATTTTTACATTTGACATTTCTGTCCCCCTCACTTCTGAAATTATGGATATGCCCCTGAATTTATATATGTTCTTTGTTTGATTTCCTCAACTGGAAGGTTGATTTTGGAATGTTCTAATTGTAAATTGTTCATTTCCCTTTTCATGTTTCTTCTATATAGGCCTACATATAATAAATGTAATGTTCACACATCATATTCTATCCCTTTGAATAGCTCAGTGACATGTTTATATAGTCAGCTTGGCACTGCATATGTGCAGGCATGCATATGTGAATTAATTTTGGACTCTCTCACTTGCTTGCCAATCTGCTTCCACTGATGTGAGGCTGCATAATCAGAATGGTGAACAAATCAGGGGGCTTGACTCCTCAGTTTCCAGTTTCCATAGGCACCCACTAATGCAGAAAAATGAAAGTGCACTTATTACTGAAAATTAAAGTGTAATTATTACTGATGCATATGGCTGACCGCCCCATGTTAATAAGTGCTATTTGTGTGTATTAAAATAGACAGATGCTGTATTTCTGTCAATGCATTTGTGCATGATTAACTACATCCATGACATTGCACTTTAATTAAATAGTAGAACAAATGTGAAAATCCATCTATTTTTAGTCATTATTATTTTGACTACACTGATCATGAGCGCCTTATCACAATTTTATTTCAAAGGTTAGCTGATGCCACCTAGTGACAATGTCGTGGCAAATGCTAAATGCTATGCCTCTAAACAGTCTTTTTTTTATAATTGATTTTATTATGTATAATTATAATTTTTCTAATAATAAATTAGGTGAAATGCATGATTTCTAAATGCAATAAATAATGCAATAAACAAACAAAAAACAGAGAAATAAATAAATGAATATACCTTTAATATATATGAAATATATGAATAAATCTATAAAAGGAATGAAAAAATATGAAATGAATACAATCAAATAGGTTCAGGCATTTAATTTTGTATGCTTTACATCAAATACTTTTTACATGCAATTTTTTTCTTATTGCGCTAATATTGAATTAAATAACTCTGCTAATAATAATAGAGAAAACAGACTGATAGTGAATATATATTCTAGCTTCTGCTTTCCATCAGATAAAAAGGATTGTCATTTCTTTTCTCCATAATTTGAATTTTATGTTGAGTGGTCAGGGTCAGAAAGATGGTTTAATGTAACACAATGCGAAAAGAAAAAATTCACTGAATGCATCAGTGTTATAATGAATAGTTGTTTACAGGGACATTTAATGACATGAGGGCAAGTGAAAAAAGCTATAGTGGTCTGGGGGCAGAATAATACAGCATCCACTTCTCATTTGCTCAGGAGACATGGAGAGGAAGGTCACTGCATGCTAGACTGAGTGCAGAGCATGCTATTGTTGCTGTTGTTTCTTCTATCTTGGTTTTTCATTCATTTGTGACCAGATTAGCTTTCCTTTCTTTTTTTCATATTTCTTTCATAAGTGAAATCTACACTGTACTAATAACAACCAGAAAACATTTTCAGCATTACATATAATGAGATTGAGCGAATAGTATGCATATTTGGCGTGCTGTCCGAGGAGTGAGGAGTTGGGGCGGAGGAGGGATGCCAGAAAAACAGAGGTGGGACCGAGGTAAGTAAGCTGTATATATATTTACTATCATGCAAATGATGTACTATCGTGCTAATGATCATACGTGCTCCGCCTGTGCTGAATTAGTTGATCCTCCTAAACTTTGTTAATAAAACATAATTTTAAGCACACTGAACTGTGACTGTCTGGAAAATGCAATGTGACACAATGAAGAACTAAAATATTTATGTGATAGCAAAAACTAAGAAAAAAGAAAATATGTCTCTTAAAAGCTATGAATAATTTCTAATTATGAGAAATATTCCTATATATTCCTACAGTATATTCCACAATAATTGTAGATTTGTCACAGAAGAGGACAGAGCTGTTTTCTAATTGTAAATAGCTATAATAACTTTGAAATTAGGCAGAAATTGGTTGGTTTTTATGCTAATTTAATTGCCATTCACTTTTATTTGCACAGTAAATGAAATGCAACATCTAGGCCTATTTATCATGTATGTAACATCTGTAACAGAAAATGTATGGTTTAGTGCATATATATGCTGAACCCACTGTCTGTGGACTAAGCAAGACAGCAATGAAAGTCGTAAACGGAATAAAAGAAGAGTAAATAAAAAGAACCTGAGTTTCTGTATTGCAAGTATCCATGTAATTTATTTAGTTAAGACTTGAAGCACTGTAAAACTCAGTTTTATACAATATGTAGGCTAGGGTGTCTCTTTAGCTTGAGGCACATTTATGTTTTTTAAATATTTTTTTTAACCTGAAATAGGTCTACAGCCCCTGCTGTAGTTACCTCTGAAACCACAAGATGATACTATTTCCTAAAAAAAAAAAAACGAATAAGACTACGCATGACTACGCACTAAGAGTCGAGTGTAACTTTCGGGACAATGCTCAGATCCACCTTTAGTTGGCTAAATTACATGTGTCGCGGCTGCGTAAACTACTTTTTTACTGAAATTAATTTTAAATTTAATCTCGATTCAATCCATAGAGTGCGTTTATTCCCTCAAACGTTTCTAACAATTCCCCATCTTAATTTGTTATCAGGTGCCGAAAGCATTATTTTATGCCCACTTCCAGCTCTGTGTGTTTAAATGCTGCGTGCCACTATGAGCTCCAGCCACTGTGACGTCAGCGCCGAAACACTGAGGTAAACAAGCGATTTTCAGCAGCGTGCGCCTCTGCCGGAGCACTCGGCCTGCCCAAACCACTTCTGATAGTTACCCAGCGTTTGATCCGAGGACTTGAACAGTGCTCTGCCTGCTTTTCTTCTGTCAGTGACCGCGTCTCTCTGAAGAGCATCGCACACAGACGGAACGCTCAAAAATGTCTATGAAGCCGGAGGCAGATTCGGAGGGCAGCTGGTACGAGGACGATTTTGAGAAGATTGACCGCTTTGGGAGTACCACCACCACCAGCCGTGGCGACTTGGGAGTGGAACGGCAAGTGAGAGACTGGGAGGACGAGTCAAGTGAAGAGAAACAGTTTTCCAGCCATCCCGAAAGCGACCGGCAACCGCTCCCCGTTGTCATGGAAACTGCTTCCACAGGTAAGGTGGTTTTGATGTACATCGTCATATATGCAATGCTTTGAAATACCTCGATGCTTTAACTTATCTGTCGACCGGGGCCTGGTTATCAGGTAGCAGTAACCTTGGCTTATTGGATCACCCTGTCTGGAGTGGAAGTTAATTACAACTAATAATTAATTCAAATTTAATACAAAACAGATCAAATATAACAGTAAGGAAATACATTTCTTTATTTTACAAGGTGTGTTTACACAGACTTCTTAGAGGTGGCTTAAAGGTTCTTTTCTAAATATATATTGTAATAAAATGAATAATCAACACTGATCATAAAAAATATACACATTGAAAAAATATTTTATACACAATATTGTATTGTAAGAAATATTATATACACATTATAAAATAATGTCTTACATTTGTATATCTTTAATTACACGTTGTATGAACAACCAGTCAGTATTTGATTTAAGTCAGGGGTGTCAAACATACGGCCCGCGGGCCGAACACGGCCCACAGAGGTGTCCAATCCGGCCCGCAGGATGATTTAAACAATATTATAAAATAATAAATAAAACATAATTTTGAAAATTAAATAAAGTGTATTCGCTACAATATTTTACTTTGAATTTAAAGCGGAACAAATGGCTCATTTATTTACGTTGATATTACGCCTCGGGATTCGGGACACCTAACA